CCCGGGACGTGGGCCACATTTCTGCCCCAGGCTTTGTGCCTCAGAGGGAATCTGAGCTGCCCCTGTTTCTCTACAACAAGCCTGTCGCCTGGTGGGGTAATCTCCAAGTTTCTCAGATGGCAGCTGCTGGCCCGGGACAGACATGTCCTCATTCTGGGGGCGCCACCTCCCCCAGAGGGCCTAGGCCGGGGCAGGGGGCGGGCTGGGCAGGGACCGTGGGCTGGGGCGTGAGGCCACGGCGGGCCTGTGAGGCCCCTCCTCGGCCGGCCCCGCCCTGGCGCGCGGCCCTTGTCCTCTGTGCGTACACGGGGCAAACATTTACCCTTTCCATTTTTGCACCGGCTTAATGACCCGCGGGCCCAGGGCTCGACACATCGTAGCCACCTGACGCCTGTTTGTTGGTTCACACGTCCGTCCGCCTGTCCGCTGCCAGCAGAGCCGTGTTCTCGGCCCTGCTGGAATTTTCACCACGCACTTATGACAAGTGGCTGACGTGCTGCTAGTAAAAACATCAGCGTCCCACGGCGGTGCCTCTCACCCGTGAGGGTTAATCAGGGTGGATCGAGGACGTCCCCAGAGCCGCGCTCTGGCGCTCGAGCTCGGTGGCGCTGCTCCGAGCGCAGCAGACAGGCAGGGGGTTGGGGAGGGGCAACCCTGGGTGGTCCGTCCAGGCAGCCTGACCTTTCCTCCCGAGGGGCGTGAGGGGCGCGGGACTGACCCCCTCCCTCTTTGAGCTTCGAATATGGACAGTGACCTGAGGATGAGGGAAGCCCAGTCGCGGCCCGTTCGCAGGCCCCCGGGGGCCCCCCGTGGGCTGTGTCCGGCCGGGGCCTGCCCCGCCTGGCTGACTCGGTCTGTCCTGCGTGTCAACGAGCCGCCCTCGGAGCAGCCTGCCCCGACCCCACGGCGGCCGGGGTCCCTTGGCCGCACTTGCACATCTCTAGTTTGAGGGGAAAGACTGCCACAGGCCCGTACACCCCCCGCCCCCGCCCATGAGGGAGCTGCCTGGGGTGGCCCTCAGAGGCGGCCTGGCCTGGACCGGCCCCACGGAGGCCGCCTGGTGCTTCCTGGAAAATGGCCGGAGACGTCAGGAACAGGGGCTGATCTATCACCTGCAGCGTCAGGAAAAGCTCTCGCTGCGGGGTCTCTGGAAGCAAGAGCTCCGGGAAGCCAAGATGCAGCAACGGCACATTGCTCCCTGCGTCCTGTGCGGGGCCAGGGGAGGTGCTGGCGGTCCCTGAGCCGGGCTCCTCCTCAGACAAGAGCTGGCTAAACGCCTGTCGCGGCTGCCGCGTGCTGGCCCCCCGGACACGCCATCTCCACGTTTAGGCACAAGGACACCAGCGCAGCCCTTGCCAGAGCCCCTGGGATTGCCTGGGCACGGCCAGGGTCCCAGCTTCGAGGACAGAGAGCTGGGTCCGGCCCTGGCTCTGCGCTCTGACCAGCCAGGCACTCGGCGCGGGCGTGACCCCTTCAGGGCCTTCGCCTCGTCCCCTCGATGGCTCCCACGCTCCCCGCCTCCCCGTGGACACCCTCCCGGGCAGCGGACATGCCCCCCGCCCTGACCGTGAACTGTAGCCATGACTGCACGGAAGATGGCAAAGTGACCCCAGGTCACTTCCAAGACTCGGTTCTGGAAAGCCCGCCCCCAGCCGCTTGCCCCCTCGGACCTTTGTCCTCCCGCCCCCTCCGCTCTGTCTCAGGTCCGCCTCTCTGGGGGACACAGCTCCGAGCCGCCATCCTCAGAGGCCCACGCGGCCTCACTCTGAGACAGAGGACGTCTGTCTGCACGGGGTGCCCCCAGAGCCCCCGACCGAGCCAGGTCCCGAGTGAGGCAGATGCGCCACAGCCCCGGGGACCCGAGGGTCCTGGCAGAAGCTCCCACTCGGCCACGCAGACCAAGGTGAGGCGCCGAGTGTGTGCTGGTGAAGCCACTGAGCACGGGGTGATGGTGTCGCACTCAGCAGGCCGGTGGCACACCTGCCCCACCCCCCGTCCTGTCTCCTCCCAGCTCCCCCAGCCACACCGACCTCCTTTCCAACCTCCTGTCTGTCCAGACGGCGTCCGTCCCCGAGCGTCTGCACGGCTGGCCTCCCGCCAGGCTAAATATACCTGAGTGAGGGCCGGCCTGGCTCCTCCGGGTCATGCTGCTGGGACTAGAAATGTCACCTCACCCCGTGGCCTCCTCGTAGCACCTGCCATGTGTCCACACGGCCATCGCTCTTTCCTTCCACGTGTTTTTGATTTCAGGGAGTTGTCCGCTTCCCATCCAGACCGGGAGCTCCGGGCAGGCGGGGACCTTGTTGGCCGCGCCGCAGCCTGGGCACAGGTGCTGAGTGAACAGCTAGGAAGATCCGTCTTAGCACTGAGCAGCTCAGCTGTTAGAGCCAGAGTCATTTTAAGTGGACGAGGCTGATAACTGTGTCTGCTAATCCTGTGGTTCCAGCCTTTCGCGGGTGTATGAAGCCGGATGGCCCCCCAGTTTCTGTAGCATGGCACTCTGCCCACCTCCCAGGGCCGGGCGGGCGTGCAGGTTGGAGAGATGCATCTTTCAGGTGGCCGTTCGGGAACCAGAGTTCTGTCACATGCTCCTCCAACCCCAGGACGCCACGTCCCCCACGCCCCTCAGCCTGCGGGCGAGAACACGGAGAAATGCATGCTGGGGGATGGCATCAGCCAGGTCCTCGATGCTACAAGTCAATTTCTGTCCTGTTCCCCTGGAAATAACAGCGTCATAGGGCCACAAGGGAGGCTGGGACGTGCCATCCGAGGTGACAACGGATTCTGGTGGACAGCTAACATCCCTGCGACGAGGCGCGGCTCATCTAGAAGTGCGGTGTTGTCAGGCCTTTACCGAGCGTCTGCGGGGGCCAAGCCCTCACTGAGCCCCAGGAGGCCCGGCTGGGCCGCCTCGGGGCCTGGAGAAGCTCCCCGCCCACAGTGGAGAGGAGACAGGCCGTCCCCACATCCTGGGAGGAAAGGGCACAGGGACGGCACTCTCGCCTTCCAGAGAGGACCCTGGATTCGGGGTCGCCTGCAGCTCACAGCAGCTGAGCTCCCCTCTCGGAGGTAAAGAAGGTGTGGCTGGCGGGGAGGGCGGCGGCAGGGACCCCCGGAGCAGGCCAGGCAGGTGCGCCACCTAGTGAGGAACACCAGGCCACCGGGGAAGGGGAAGTCGGAAGTCGTAGACCCAGAAATCCTACTGGGGCGGGGAGGCGGGGGGACGGGGGGCGCGGTAGTCACAACAAGTGAGAAGTGACTGAGAACGCAAGGCGATCTCGTTTCTGGAGTGACCTCTGTCTAGATCTGGATGGAAGCACACGAACAGGCGGAGGGGTCGTTTTCCGATCTCCTGAAATGTGTGTCGTCTCCTCTGAAGGTTTCCATCAACGTGCTTTGGCCTCGCCGTGTACTTTCCTCAAACGGCCGCGGGGCCCCATGATGCACAGCGGCTTCCCCCGCGGGGCCCGGACGCCACCTCCTCTGCCCTTCCTGCCCTTGTAGCCGGGGCCTGGCTCAGGGCTCGGCACACGCTCCCCGAAGTGCCGGACAGGGGACGAGGCCTGCGTTTTCCTTGCGTGACATGGCAAGACAGTGACTTCTACTGGAAGGCGCCCCGAAACGCTGACCCCCACGGAATTTGTTTTGGCCCAGCAGCAAGCGCGGGAGGGCGGCTCCCTTTGGTGTCCGCTTCTAGTGCAGACGACCCTGAGCCAGGAAGCACAGAGGCCGTGTCTCCTGTGGCCACCAGAGGGCAGTGCCAGCTGCTCATAACAATGACATTGACCCACTTCTGAACCTCCCAAGTCCGCCTGGTTCCGAACGGGTTTGATAGCCCTTACAGCAGCGATTTTCAATCTTTTTCATCCCATACACTCATTACTAAAATCCTGTGGCACACCAAAAACATATTTTGAAGATCTGACCCCAAATAGGTATAATTTTGAGTCACACCGGGCAGCTATTGTTGTGTTGGCTGTTGTCATTTTTTTAGGACAATCTAAGGGAAAAGAGGTCGCTGACCCTGCCTAAATCGTCCGGTGTTGCACGTTTTACAAATTCTTGCCTGCCAGTTGAAAATCGCTGCCTTAAAGGATTTCTTCAGGGAATATTTAGTTATTTTTCTTCCTCAATTTCATTTGAAAGCTACTGAAAATCCCCTCCAACCAACAAGGGTACGGTGACGCTCTGACCAAGACGTTGCTTGTGACCCAGGCAGGTGAAGTGACTTGCACGCCCCCCACCCTCCACGACCACCTGCTTCCTTACCCCTCCCCCTCCGTCCATCTACACACACCCGTCTTTGCAAAGTGTCCTTCGACCGCAGATGCTAGGTCCTGGAGACCTTTGTCGACCACGTTGCCCCGTTTGGTGAGAGGCATCTGTGGGCAGCAAGCGGTCCCTGGATGGCCCTGAAGCCCGGAGACGTGACGCCGGTGTCTGCGGAATCTGTCCCAGCGGCTCTGCCAAGGTCGGGCCACGCGGGCCACGGTCCCCAAAGCCCCGGTCTGCTCTCGCCTGCGGAGGCTGGCTCCGACCCTTCACATCCCTCAATAGCATTTCAAGCTTTTGAGGACAAAGGCCTTTGGTCCATTTTTATTGTCATTGTCGCAGTTGCTAGCTAATTTTATATAAAGTGCTTTCCCTTGAAAACAGAGGAGACGGAGCCAGCTTAGCCCCCCTCTGAACCCCGGTTTTATAATACGAGTGTCCCAAGGCGGCTGCTCGAAGCGCCCACGAGGACCAGACCCCTCCTGTTACCCGATTGGGAGGCCGACGCTCCCTTTTCCTGTCCGCTCGGAGTTGGAAAATGCCTCCTGTCCCTGGAGCAGAGTCCCCGCGTCCAGGCCAGGGCGGGCCTTGTTGCCTGGACGACAGCGCGTCGGGCTGACGGGCTGCGGAGACAGCCAATGGGAGCCAGGGGGCGGGGCCAGCCGGGTCTCGCGGCCGCGCGGAGCTGGCAGGTGAGAGCCCGGCGTGGGGGGCGGGGCGGGGCGGGATCGTGGAGGCCCAGCGGGTTCCGGGTGACCCCAGGCCCCGGGCGTGGCGACGCCGGCTTGGCTGTAGGGTCCGAGCTCCCGGACTCGGCGCCCCAGGTCTCGTGGGGCCTCAGCGGGCTCAGGGGGCGGGGGGCCACGGACCTGAGCGGGGATCGGGGCCCCGGGACACCCCCGCCTTCCTGGGGGCGCCCCGAGACTGGGGAGAGGGAAGGGCTGCAGCGTTTGGCGCCGGGGCGGAGAGGCCCCGGAACCCAGGGGCCCAGCCCGCCCCCCGCCCCGCGCCGCGGGTGCGGCCGCGGCCACTGTCCCCGTTCGACACCACCCTCCCCGTCCTCTTGCAGGTGTCCGGGCTCCGGGCCCCTAGGCTGGCCGGCATGAAGCTCCTGTGCGTGGTGGCTGCAGTCGGCTGGCTGCTGCCACCCCCCGCCCCCCCTCCGCCCCCGGCCCAGGCCAACGAGGTGAGGGGCGGGGCGTGCACACCTGTGCGGAAGCTGTGGCCGCTCGCCCGGGGCGCCCGCCCCGCGCTCCCCGGCGGCCCTGCCTTCGGGGATTCCTCGGGGCGAGCCGGCGGGTGGGATTCCGGCCCGGGACTCTGCGCTGGGGCAGCGGCCTGGGCTGCGCTCACCTACCCTGGCTCCCACAGCCGCGGCGCCGCTCTCTGGCTGTCAGGGCTCCCGCAGAGGGAAGCTTCTGCACAGAGGCCGCAGCCTGAGCCCTGGGACCCCTGAGGTCGCCTCCGCTCTTCCAGGGGCGATGACCACGACCTGGGTCTGGGTGGGCCGCACAGTTTGAGGTTCGGGTGCGAGGAGTTCACAAAACTCAGCGGAGCCCCTCGGAGGCCTCACTGGTCTTTGGAAGCGACTCACGAACCAGGCGGCTGCCCACCCAGCAGCTAGCAGGGCTCTGGGGGCGAGGATTTCGTAGGAGGGAAGGTGGGGAAGGGAGCTATCGCCCAGGGAAGAGAAGGGGTTAGTTTTGGCCCCGACAGCTTTTCCTCGGGCAAGACAAAGGGAAGCGCCTGAGCACCAGGCCGCCCCTTCTTCCTCCGGGGGATGGAGAGGGACCGCGTGTCAGATGACCGTCCCGGGGCTTGGCCAGGAAACCCCGGCTGGCTGGTGAAGGCGGTGTTTCCGGGGGAGGCCGAAGCCGCGGCTCCGTCAGGTGGCCCATCCAGGTTCGGAGCCATGGGCTTTCAGCAGGAGGAACAGCACGTGCGGCCTGCTGCGTGCTCTTTGGCAGGGCACTTGCGTCCCCTGCCTCCAGGAATCCCTAACCGGGGTGAAAGGCTTTGCGACCCTGTCTCTTATGGCTCCAGGGGGCAGCCTGAGCGTTCCCATGGAAACAGCCCACTTTCTCCCTCCCTCTGCCCTGTTTTTGCCCCAATCTTAACCTAGGAAGCTGGGGGTTGGGGGAGGCCAGCCACAAAGATTAGCTGACCGAGGTGAACACACACAGGCGTGGGCACAGGGTAGGGGACGGTCACTTTCCTTGCCTCCACCCCCGCCCCCAGCGCCCCACCCGAGGCAGCGTGTTCTGTGGCTCATTTGCCGCCTGGACAGCGTGTCTGGAAGACCCTGTGATGGAGCATCCTCCCTGCACACGTCCTTCTCTGCTGAGCTTGGGGGCGGGGAGCGGTCAGGAGCACTGAGGCGGTCACCGCGTGGAGCGGGGAGCTGGCGCCCCGCCGGAGCCCGAGCCTGAGCCGGGCCACCGCGGACGCACGCTCCCCCGAGAGCTCCGAGGACTCGAGGAGCAAGTGCGTCTGCCCGCCGTACAGAGACGTCAGCGGGCACATCTACAGCCAGAACGTGGCGCAGAAGGACTGGTGAGGCAGCGTGAGGCCCTGCACCTGCGGGCGGGCCCCCCTTGCTCCTGGAGATGGGGTGGAGCGGGGGCTGAGGACGTCCCTATGGGTGGAGGGCGCGTTGCCGCTCCGGGCTCCTCAGGGGCTGGGAGCCCCGTCCTGTGGGGACCCCGCGGTAAGAGTCAGGACTTTGTGGCTGTTATTTTCTCCCAGCTGCACTGAGACACAAGTCCCACGCAGCACTGTGTAAGCTCGATGTGCACAGGGACGGTATGACACATGCATGTCGAGTGAGGGAGCACCTCCCTCAGCTCACGCAGTCGCCGAGTGTGTGGTGGGAACAGGGAGCTCGACTGTCTCAGCAGCTTTCGAAGGGACAATAAATAGAGTTTTGGTAACCGCAGTCCCTGTCCCATTCACCACATCACCCCAAAGATTTCTGTTCACAAAGCCCTAAGATGGCAAAGCCCGGGGGAGCCCCGGGATGTTGTCTGCTGGGGTCACAGTTCGGAGAGCGCGGGGAGTAAGCCGACAGGCAGCCCCCGCCAGCCGCTCAGGCCGCGTCCCGCGGGCCCACGCCCGACCGGTCTGTCGCTGCAGCAGCTGCCTGCGCATGGCGGAGCAGGCGCCGGTGGACGCGGAGGCCGACCACCTGCTGTACGAGTGCCACTACGAGGAGCGCAGCTCCGCCACCATCAAGGTGGGCGCCCCGGGCTGGGGCTCCGCTCCGGAACGTGCCGGGGGCTCTGGGGCTGGCTGCCGGGCGGGGACCCACGTCCCGGCCCTGGAACCGGCCGTCCTGTGACCCTGTGCCCTGGGGGTGAGAGCCTGGCAGGACGCGCCGCCCAGAGCCCCCTGGCCCCTCAGCCCGGGCTCCGACCGCCCGAGCCCGGCCCTGCTTCCCGATTTCTAGCAGCCCCTCCCGGGTCCAGGGGTTGAGCTTAGTCCTGCTTGTCCTGCGAAGGGTCCAGACCCCGTGAGCACCTCTCAGAAGCGACTCGGAAAGTAGCCGCCCTGCTAGGCCCTCCCTCAAGGCTCCCGGGGAGGGAGGGGTCCCCGCCCAACCCTGTGTTCTCACCTCTCGGGGAAGCAGCTGCCCGTCCCCAGGCCCTCGCCATGGTCCTCCTGCCGCCGCGGCCCCTCCCGCAGCTGCCTTTCTCTGTCTCTGAACTTGCTCCCAAGGCCCCACCCGCGGGCGACCGGACGCCCGAAGTTCTGCGCCAGACGTCGGCGCCGCTCCCTCTTTGGCGGGGAGAGACTTCCCCGCGCGGGTCCTGGTTAGACACACTTCCTCATCCCTCACCCGCGGGCTCCATCCCGCCCCGCCCCGCCCCTGGGCAGGCAGGAGGAGGTGGCAGGTGGCGGCCAGGTTGGACCTGGTGCTGACGGATGGGGCAGCGAGCCGGAAAGTGCCGGCGCTCCTCTTCCCTTCGCCCCTCGTCTGAGCCTGCCGGGTCCGGGCTGGGGTCAGAGGCCGGAGAGGGATGGCCGGGCGTCGCGGAGTGGGATGGGCGTCTGAGGCGGAGTCCCCAAACCAGGCGCAAGTGACACCTGCCAGCCTCCAGCCCTGGACCTCGGGTGAAGGGTTTCGCCCCGCGGTTCTCAGTGAGGTGCCTGCTGCCCTCCAGGGGCAGTGGACGGGCGCGAGGCGTCTCAGGTCCCCGTCACTGGGGACGTGACGGGCGCCAGCCCAGTGACCTGGGCGCTCAGTGCCCCGAGGGCCGTCCTGCGAGTCCAGGGCCTCCGCGCGGAGAAACTTCGAGCACGCCTCTCGAAGCCGTCTTTTCCGCACAGGAAAAATCGCCCCCGCTTGGGAGGCTCTCCCTGGAGGCGGCGGATGCGGGGCTGCCGCCCTGTCCCTGGCCCTCCGCCCCCTGCGGGGAAACCGTCCCCGGAGCCCTGTCCTCAGCTGAGGCTTCCCCCTCAGCCCCTCCCCAGCCGCCCCTCTTCGCTCGACGCGTGACCCCGGCTCACCACGCTGTGCGGGGCTCTTCTGCGGCGGGCGGGCCCTTGTCCCCGCCCCACCCCCACCCGGGCATGGCAGGGCGCCCTGCCCCACGGGGTTCATCGTCTCTTGCCTCTCTGGCCGCGGGAGAACGGATGGGCAGCGAGGGACACGCGGGGTAGGGCCACATGGCCGTCCGGGCACAGCGTCCCTCTGCGCCGCAGTCTGGCCTCAGGGCCCGGGTGTCTTCCCAGGTCACCACCATCATCTGCCTGTCGGGGGTGGGGGCCCTGCTGCTCTACACGGCCTTCCTGACGCTGGCGGACCCTCTGATCCGGAAGCCGACGCCTACACCGAGCAGCTGCACAACGAGGAGGAGAGTGAGGTAACGGGCCTCGGCGCCGCGCTCGGCCCTGGACCCCGACCCTGCCTCCCCCACGCTCCCGTCCGCCCTCCTGCTCGGCATCTCACACGTCCCCCGGGCTCCCGGGTTCTCCTCGGTGGGGACTGGCCTGTGCACCCCCGGCGGGCGCAGGAGGTGGCCCTGGGTTTCCCCGGATGCCTGGCTTCGGCGGCCACGGGCGCAGCCGGGGCGCCTTGTCCTGTCACACCGCGCCGGGCAGGGACGTGAACCAGCCCGGCCCGTTACAAGTGCCACCCTGGCTGCCGGGCGGCGTCCGGCGGGCGGTGGGCTTCCGGTGGCCGGGTTGTCTTCAGTGATTCCGGACCCTGCTCGGTGCAGAGCACAGCCCCCGGGCTCGGACGGAAAGCGGGATGGCAGGTGCCGGCGCCCTGCGGCGGGTGGCGCGGGGCGGGGAGTCGGCCCGGGGAGCTGGCCGCTTCGGGGCTGAGGTAGGTAGGTCGGGAGTGCGGCTGGCGGGGTCAGCGGGTCGCCGCAGGCCCCCCGATGTCTCACTGAGGCGTCTCTGCTTTCGTGGACGGGGACACCCCGACTCCAGGAAGCCCGCCGGCCCCTTGCCGAGGAGCCCTGGGGACCCTGCAGGGAATGGGGTGGGGGAGCGGGGAGGGCGGCCAGAGGCCATGCGCTGGGCGGACAGCGTTCCCACCGGGAGCCTTGGGTCTTGGCCGCACTCTGGGGCAGTTGGTTGAAGAAACTGGAGATGTTTAGCTTTAAAAAAAATCAAAAGACCCAAACCCCAGGAGGTGCGCGATCGCAGCGTTCAGGTGTTTCAGGCGAGAGTGCGGGCCCACCCCGAGCGAGGCCGGGGCAGCAGGGCGCCCAGCAGGGCCGGCGGCAGGACTCAGCACCGTGCGAGAAGCAGCCTTGCAGCTAGGCAGTGAGAGCCGGTTCCGGGGCGCCAGGCACAGGCTGAGCAGCCGCTGGGAGCCCGGCTCAGGGCCTCGCACGGCTCAGGGCCTCGCACGCTTCAGGGACTGAGGCAGGCCAGGGCGGGCCTCCCCGTAGGAGGCGGGGCCCAGATCTGGGCGTGAAGCTGCCGGTGAAGGGGCCACCTGCCGGCCCCTGGCGCTGCCCCGTGGGCCAAAGGTGGGCGGGGGAGGGGTGCGGGGGGAGGCTGGGCCTCACCCTGCGTTGGGGGGGGGGAGTGGCGCCGGAGCTGGGTGGTCTGTGCTCCGCAGGAAACCCCGCGCGCCTACCTGGTTATTAATGCGCGGTAATAGCAGCTCTGGGGCGCGGGGCATCGCTAATAAACACTCGGCGATTAGGGCAACGCGCTAATTGCAGTGCCGGCTGCGGCGTAATTGAGAGACAGGCGATGACTGCGGCTCGGCCGGAATGCAGGGCTCCCTGCCTCCCGGACCAGGCGCCGGAGGGGGCGGCCCGCCCTGGGGCCTGGGCCCCGTCCCTGCCCGCACTGAGTTCCGTCGGGGCCGCCTCTGTGTGAGGGGGCTCTGGGGCGTCCGCCCCGGGACAGCCCGAAGCAGGGGAGCCGCGGGGGACACGAAGGCGTGGGCGGATTGGGTCCAGGGGCCGGAGAGCTGGGGAGGCGGCCCGGGGAGACCAGGGTTGGGGACTTACCCTGCCTTCGTGTCAGTCCGGGAGGGCTTCCTGGCAGAGGGGACCTTCAGAGCCAGCTCCGAGGGCAGTGACGGCCCAGCTGCTGGGGGCACAGCTGCCTTGCCCTGGGTGGTGAGGACTCTCAGCTTGTCCTCCCCTCTCGGGGCACCCGAGGTCAGGGGTGTGCCGCTGGGGCGGCAGAGGCTCGGTCCCTGAGTTCATGAGTGGTCTGGAGACTTTTCCCTAAGAACACAAGGAAGGGGCCCCCCTGGGCTGCAGGGACCCCGCTTCCGCCCCAAGAGGAGGAAAGTCAGGACGAGGCCTCTCAGGCTCTATGGACGTCCCCCACAGCCTGTCCAACTCCATGGCCACGAGACAGACGCTCTGCCTGGCCCCCAGGTTCCAGCCCCACACCCGCAGCCCCTGCCCAAGTCCGGGACCCAGTCAGGGGTCCGACCCGGAGGTGGCTGCGCCCCAGGACTGGGGGCCCTTGGCTCCATCGCCCCAACCGCTGTAGCAAGGAGCCCGGTTGCCCGACGACCGTGCTGCGCAGGGAGATGAAAGCCGGCGTGTCCCTTTGAAGGCTGGCAGCCGCGGCGCGGGGCGCTGGCGCGGCCCCCCGGGATGCCGGTGGCATTAGGCCTAATCCCCCGGCTCAGACGCCCTTTGAAAGGAGGAAGCGGGCGTGTTTGCTGGGACGGAGGCAGAGCCACTCGGAGGCGCGGGCTTGGTCCTCTTTGAAGAGCGGGCAGGCCTCCTCCACGGCCCCGGGAGTCGGCCGCTCACCAGGGTCCCTGGAGGCACCCCCACCCCTGGAGCGTGGGGACAGTGCTGGGCCCTGGGGGAGGGGGGGCAGGGAAGCAAGGAGAGGCGGCGGCGGCCCTGGGGCCACGAGGGGACTGGGGCGGGGAGGACTCGGGGCCACGGGAAGGCCCCCCGGCCCCGCCCAGGGATGGGTGGGCAGCTCTGAGCGCGAGGTCCCTGGTCCCGAGAGGTGACAAGGGAGCTTGGAGAAGACACGGGCTGGAGAGGACACTTCCCTTGTCTCCTGCAAGGCCAGACAGGCGTGCCCTCCACAGGCCTCCCAGAGTCCCCTTGGGCCCGGCCGCGATCGGGCCTCTGACTCCGCCCTCCGGCTCCGCCGGTCGCTGTCTGCGGTGCTGAACCCCGGGGTCAGCCTGCATGTGATCACCGGCGGCCCTTGCCCACCACAGCGGTGCGTGGGCGTCTTTAAAAGCACTTGTTTGTCCTTGAGGAGGAGCAGCGTCTGATGGCAGGAGGGTCGGCTGAGGGCAGCAGGCGTAGCGGCCCGGCAGGGAGGGAGCAGCCACCGTGTCCCGGCCAGGCCGCCGGGGCCAGCGGGGCGGTGGGGCCAGGCGTGCGCCGTCCACCGCTCGGCTGGGCCTGCGCTCAGGCCTGTGCGTCTGCCGGCAGCAGGGTGGGTGGCCGCCAGGCAAGGCGCGGGGCAGGGGACCGGGGACATTGTGGGACGGCAGGGAGGGGACAGTGGCCGGGGCATGGGGCGTCAGGGAGAGCTGGCAGCGCAGCTGTGGCGGGAGCGGCCAGTCACAAACGGCCTGCCCGGCTCGGGGCCCGGGGTCGGAGACGGGTGGAGCGGCGCCGCGCAGGGTGGGGGTCCTCTTTTCCTCATCTCCTTGTCCCGGGGGGACCCACCCCTCCTCCCCGCCCGCTCCCCTCCTCCCTGAGTCGCTTGAGACGGAGCCTCGGAGGGAAGCGGGCAGGGACGTGCCCGCCCTGCCCTCAGCTGCCCGCCCCCCCAGCTCCGCAGGCCAGGCCGAGGCCCGCGCCGGCCTCTCTGGAACAGCCCTGGGTCTGTAATGCCTTCCATCGGACCGTGAGCACAGGCCTGTCCGCGGCAGCCCCCCCCTCCGCCCCCCGACACTTAGGAGCTGCTTGTCAAGACCGAACGTGAGCGGGGGCTGGATGAAGCCGCCGTCCTGTGGCGCCTGCAGGTGCACCTCCGGCCCCTGCTGCTGAGCACGAGGAGGAGCCGGGCCGAGCCTCCGCTGCCCTCCAGCCGCCTCCAGGGGTGACGGGGCCGGGGCTGGGGCGGCGGGGGCTTCGGCACCGTGGGGCGCCCTCGGCCAAGCTGACCCGGGAAGGAACAGAGCCGGAAGGTGTGCAGAGCCACGGGCGCTCCCCGAGGCAGGTCCCCCGTCCCTGCCTGGGCGGCCAGAGCGGGCCCGTGACGGGCCCCGCTGGCAGCGCCGCGTCTGCGGGCCGGGACGGAGGCTCGGAGGACGAGGCTGCTCGGCCAGGGCCTGCCCCGGGAGGCGTCAGCGCCGGGAGTGTGAGTCCGCCACGGGCCCAGCCCCGCGCTGGACAGGGGGCCGGGGGGCAGGCCATGTCCCCGAGCCCCTGCTCCGTGGCAGCCCGTGTGCTTTGCGCCTCATTCACCCGCGTTGTCCATCGAGCTTGTCACACTCACGCCGGCCATAAATCGCGTGTCTCACACTGGGGGCCACGGCCCCGGGGTCTCAAAGCCAGCCCGGCGTCAGGAGCGGGACTTGGGAGCCGTGCCGTGGAGCACATCGGGGAGCAGGCCCTGCTGCCCCTCACACGGCCTGCGGGCTCTGTGTGTGCGTGTGACCCCCCGACGCTGTGGTTGGGGAAGCCTGAGGAGAGAGCACTCGCTACATTGTTAACCGGAAGCCTGGAGAAATCCCTGTCCACGCGGCCAGGCTGCCCCTCCTTCCCGCGGCCCACGGTGGGCGCCCGCGATGGGCCCCGGCCGCCGGAGGCCGGAGGAGAGCCCTGCATCGCGCTGAGGCTTGCCTGGTGCAGCACCCTTCCCTGACCCCGGACGTGGCCCCCGGGAGCTGTCCGCCTCAAGACAGCGGCTCAGCTCCGCGGAGGCCGGGAGCTGCCCGCTGGCCTCGCCCCCGCCGGACCCCTCTGCAGCAGTGCCTGCCCGCTCGGCCCCCCGCGCCCCGCTGCACCCCCGCCCGGCAGCTGCGTGGCGACAGAAGCCGTGCCAGCCCGGCGTTAGAAGCAGGGCTGCATTTACGGGGCGGCTCTGGCTCAGAGGGCCGTGCTAATCCCTTAAGAGACGGTGGCGGGAGATGAGAGGCAGGGAGAGCTGGGAGGAAATCCCCACGGGCGTGTGGGCCGGGCCCGGGCTCTAATTCCCCCAGAGATCAGGGTCGGTCCGCAGGAAATGCGCAGGCTTCAGAGGCAGCGAGGTGGTAATTAGGGCGGATGCTGCCTCCGAGGACAGAGAGGCTGTCGGAGCGGGGAGGGGGCGGGGGCGGGGACCGGGCCGGAGGGAGGGCGTCCGCTGTCCTGCTCTGTCCAGGGCAGGCCCTGCGGGGGTGTGGGGCCAGCTGCGGACGCCCACCCCGCGGCCACCCTGCCCGAGGGCACGTCCCCCTCCCAGCGAGTCCCAGGCCCCTGTGCAGCCGGCCCTCACCACCCCGCCAGCCCTCGCCCCGGGCTGTCCCGCGTCCTCCTCCCGTGGGTCAGGAGGGGCCTGTGCGCTGCCTCTGGGTCCCTCCCAGGCCCCGGGGAGGACAGGCCACCCTGCAGCCCCACCGCCCGGGGCCTCGGGCCGGCCAGGGCTCCGCGGGGCCTCAGGGCGGCCGCGCCTGCGGCGGCGGCTCAGCGCCTCCCCTTGTCCTTCCCGCCGCAGGACGCCTGCGCCATGGCGGCCGCCGCCGTGGCCCCGCAGGGCGGCCCCCGAGCCAACACGGTGCTGGAGCGCGTGGAGGGTGCGCAGCAGCGCTGGAAGCTGCAAGTGCTGCAGCAGAGGAAGACCGTCTTCGACCGGCACAAGATGCTCAGCTAGGCGGGCGCCAGCCGACGGAGCTGGGCCACGTCCCCCTCAGGCCGCCGTCCTGGTGTGCCCTGTGCAAGCACGTGGCCGGTCCCCTGTCTTCTCTGTCGCCACCGATCGGCAGGCCAGTGGGGAGCGAGGCGTTCGGCGCTGCCCTCCGGCTCCCAGTGTCTGGAAGGCTCTTACCTCCGGAGGGCGGAGCAGGGCCGTCGCCACTCTGGGGGGACAGCCACCGGCCGTCAGCACGCCGGGACCCTGGCCCCTCCCCGCCATGGTCCCCCACCGGGCGGGCAGAGCCGCTGCCCGGGCCCTCACGCCACTTCAGGATGCCGGGCGGCCCCACCCCGCGTCTGTGCAGCTGCGCCGGACGGTGGGGCACCCAGGGACGAGAGCGGCTGTGCACGTCCCAGGGCCTGTCCTCGGGTGCCCACTCGCCCCCGGCTCCGCTGTCCCCATGCACAGAGGGGGCGCGTGTCCTCCGTTGTCTGTAGCCGAGGAACCATCATTAAATCGCCTTCTTCTCTCACTCTCTGCATTTCAAGGGGTTTCCCCGGGGACCCGGCTTGCGCCGCGAGGCCAAGGCAGTGCCCGCGGCGCCCGCTCCCCTGCCAGCCACACCGCCCTGCGGCCGGAGGCAGCCGCCTCGGGTCTGTCCTCTCCCGGGAGCCTGCGGCGCGGCCACTGGAGTTATCCCGAGGGCCTACTTCTGTCCCGCCTTCGTGGACAGGCCCCCCGGGACTGTGAGCAGCCCCAGGCCGCGGCCTCTCAGACCCAGCCAGTGCGCGACCAAAACCGCTGGGGCGGGGACGGGCCCGGGAAGCAGGAAGAGAAAGGAACGGGAGCCCTTCCTCCCTCCATGCTGGTCGCCCGCCCCGGCCGGGGAAGTGCTGTGGGGTGTCCGGGGCCCAGGCAGAGGCAGGGCGTTTGAGGGACCCGTGACCCGAGTGTCTGTCCCCACGCCACCCCGGAGCTGGCACTGGGGACCCCGCGAACTGCCCCAGGCTGGGTGCTCGGTGAGGCGGTGGGGGCGGGGCCCGTCTGCAAAGTCACGTGCAAGTGCTGAGGCGTCAGGGTGACCTGCCGGCCGGGCGTCCAGGGGATGGGGATGGGCCTGGAGGCCAGCAAGGGACACTGCGGCTGAGGGGACGGAGCTGACCGTGGGACCCTGAGCAGCTGCGCTCGGCCAGCGAGGGGGCCCCGAGCCACAGCCACAGCGAGGCCAGGCCTGCGGAGCCAGTGCCGGGGACGGCTCACCCTCGCGGGCCCGGCGCGCGCGCCGCCGCAGGGCCGCTCTGGAAGCTGCGGTCCCACCTCGGGAGGCCGCTCGGCTCCGCGCACAGGGGCCCTCGCTCTCTGCCGGTCACTGGGCACCGCCCTGCCATCCCCCGCCCCCGGGACCCTTGCCTCACTCCCGGGAGCAGAGCCCCGCCCGCCCCCGCAAGCCTGTCTTTGGGACAGGCCCTGGCCTCCGGCACACGGCCTTGGGGGCAGCGTGTCCCTCCTGTTCCGAGTCAGCCCCCCACCGTCCCTTCTCCTGGCCCCCGGCTGCCGCTCCAACGTCGCCCGTCCCCTGACCTCGGCCCGTGAACGTGCCCAAGCCTCCTGCCTACAAGGGGCCTTCCGGGGGCGCCACGCCCACCACGGGTCACGGGAGCCCGCCCCCACCCTGCCACCACCTCAGTCCTGCAGCCGGAAGGAACCCTCTGCAGCGGGGTCGCGCGGGCTGTCCCGCTCTTACCTCTGCTCCCTCCTCGGACCTCAGGGGTCGCGGGGGCAGAGGGAGGGGCCCTTTGTGAACATCTGTGCTCGCTTGGCCTCTGGTGATCCCCGAGCCCGGTGCGCCTTCCCTTTTCCCCACGTTGCCTGGCGCCCGCTCCCTCTGGGCTTCGGCCTCTCCCCGAGTGTCTAGTCTCCTTCCTGGCTTCCCGGCAGTGGTGCCGGGATCTGAGTCTCTGGCCCAGGCCCGGCCCCGGAGCTCCAGGCCCGTCCACCCGGTTCTCGGGCGGACTCAGCCCCCAACCCCGACTGCAGGGCACCACGGCGCCCGTCCGAATGGGCGCCCAGGCCTCCACTCGTCAGCGATTGGCTCCCTCTGTCTGAACCGGGGAGGCCTCGCGTCATGGCGGCTGAAACTGGGAGGCCCGGCCCTCGCCTGCCGTCCCCGCGTCCACTCCCTCACAGAGCCCCAGCACCCTCCGCCCTGGCGCCGCGGTCCCCGTCCACGTCCCCCTCATCTCTCAGGGGCCACCGGGGGTCCTGCCGCTTGCCTCCCGCAGAGCCATCAGAGGCCCCGTCTCCTGGGGCTCGAGGCCTGGACGGAGGCCGGGACCTGCCCGCCCCGGCCTGCGGCCCCAGAGCTGCTCACGGGAGTGACGGGCGGGCCGCTGCCAGCCGCGCGGGGCCTACGGGAGGCGCTGGCTCCCACCAGCCCCCGGAGCGCACAGCCCTGTCTGGGGCTGAGGGGCAGCGGAGCCTAGAAGTGGCCGAAGGGCTGGGGGGCGGATGCCCAGATCTGGGCTCTGCTGCTCGTGGTCAGGCGCCTCCCACGGGCCGGCAGGGCAGGTGGGCCGTGCGCCCTGTAGGCCGAAGGACCCGGCTTCTCCCCGCCTCGGCCCTGTGGCAGTCCCCGGCCGCTGCCCCCCGCCCCCGGCCCCGGCTCCAAGGACGCCCCCGCCCAGGGCCTCAGCAGCAGCAGGCGCTCACCGGAGGTCGGTGACCGTGGTGGCGGCCGGGAGCAGGCAGGGAACATGCAGAGCCGAGGACAAGCCCCCCTGTAAGGACGCACTCCCTGTGCGCCTGCTGCTCTTGTCCCTCTGGCCAGGGACAGCGGAACCCCTCGGGCCAGTCTCTGAGGGGTCACGGGGCCTCCCCCTCTGTGGCCGGGAAACCCGGACCCGCCGCCAAGCCGGCCTTGGGGAAGCTCTGCTCCGGACCTCCCGGGGCGACGGTGTGGTGGCTCCCCTGGCCCCGGGCAGACCCCGCGCGGCGCTGAGGAGGAGCCGGGCCGTGGGCCGGCTGACCCCGAGGACGCTGGGCTCCTCTGACAGGCGGGCACGGAGGGCGGGCTCCGTCCACGAGATCAGGACCTGGCCCCCGCCCCGGGGCAGCGGTCTTCCCAGACAGGGCGAGGGCGCTAACCCAGCCTGTTCTTCCCCTGCGAGTGTTCCCGGGGGCCCCCACACAAGTCCTTCTCATTCCAGCGGCTTCGTGGTGGTTTTAATGACATAGTACTCGGGGGGAAAACGATAGCACGTCAGCCTCACGGTCCCGTGACATTCGCGTGCAGGACGCGTCCGGGCGGTGAGTGCACGTGAAGAAATGTCAGCACAACGCGGCGCGCCCTGGGGCTGTGGCAGGGACTCTGGAGGGGCCTGGTGCCACTGTGCTGGCTCGGGTCCCTGTGGAGGGACAGCTGCCCGCTGCCTCCGTCTCAGGCTCCCTGTGGGGCGGGGGCTCAGGCCCGACGCCAGGTGGACCCACACACGACAGCCTCCTGCCCAGGGCTGCGCAGGGGTCACCTGATCCTATGGTCAGCTGTGCTCCCTGACCATAGGATCCCCCCACGGGACACCCCGAATGCACGGGCTCCTCGGCAGGAGGGCCGTCCGCCCTGGGCCCCCCGCCGGGCAGCGCCCGCGGGCACAGCGCCCCCACCTGCCCTCCCAGGGCCTCGGGCGGCCAATCACAGGAGGCCAGGAGTGGCCCCCTCTCCTCCTCCAGCCGATCCCCCTCCGCCCTCCTCCCTCCCCTTCTGGGTGTGTCGCCGTTTGAAGCTCCATCAGGTGAAGCGTGTACCTGGCTCCTGGTGCCGTGGCGGGAAGCCGGGCAGAGGCTGCGAGGCGCCAGGGCAGGCGGGCGGCCCGCTGTCCCTGCTGTCCCCACCCGGGGGCCCACGAGCCGCGGTCGCTGTGCCGGAGGAGCCGGCCCAGGAGGTAACTGCACGCAGGTGGCGGCTGGGGGCATGAGGCCAGGAAGACGATTTCTGGGGGCTTAGTCACCCACCGCTTTCCTCCCCAAAGGCAGGCACGCCGGCCAGCTTCCCGCTGGCGGGGGAGGGGCGGCGGCGTGCCGGGCGCGCGGGCACTTTCTGCGGATCTGCCCACAGGCGCTGGGTCTGGCCCCGCGCCCGGTGCCTGGAGCACCCAGAGACAAAGCACAGGTTTCCCGGGGACGTCAGCTGGGGGCTCCCCTGGAAGGGACACGAGGTGTGGAGGCTGGGGGCCAGGGAGCCCTGGGCTGCCTGCGGCCGAGGGAGGCGGCTTGAGAGGTGCCGGGCCATGGCGGGGGCCCAGCCTCCAGAGCCGGCCGCCGCGGCGCCGGGGCAGGGCTCAGCGCCGTCACAGCTGCTGGGCGCCCGTAGACCGGGGCTTGCCCGGCCTCTGCCCCGTCCCCTGGTGCAGGGGCGGCGGGAGCATCGCCCCGGAGCCCTGTCGTGGGAGCCACGTGAGCTTAGGCGGGTGTCCAGGCCAGAGGAAGAGCAGATCGAGCTTTCTTGTTGTTGTGTTTTTAAACCCTGCTGTTTACGGGAAGCGCGGTCTGACGGAAGCTCCCGGAGCCTCAGTTTCCCCGTCTGTGGCGCAGGGGCACCCAGTTCCCTCCAGGGGAGTAAGTGGCCCTGGTAGCGGCCGTCCCCTTGTCAAGGGAGCCCAGACCAGGAGGGATCTGGCTGCAGGCTCCCAGAGAATCCGCGTGGGGCCACACAGAGCCGGGGGACCCGTGGCGCCACGTCAGCCCCAGCGCTGGTCACTGGGCCCTGGTCCGCGCCAGGCACAGGCGTTTTCAGACACGGTGTCCCCGAACGGTGCAGGACCGCGAGAGAAAGTGAGGGCGCAGCCCCCACCCGCAGGACAGAGGACAGGCTTGCCGTGGTCCCGGAGCTGGGCAGGGGCAAAGCCAGGCTCCGAAGCCTGTTTCGCGGGCCCCAGGGTGCCTGGTCATCAGCTCAGTTCCCACAAGATGCAGGAAAGAGTCACCCGTTCCTTCGAAAGCGTGGGAGGCGCACGAACGAGAGATGGGTGGGACAAGCCGGTGACAGACGGTCTGCACAGGGAGCCGCGAGGACCTCAGCCACCGGGGCAAGGACCTGGGGTGGGGACGGGAGAAGCCAGGGCCACACGGCACAGGGGCAGGTCCTCGTGGCCCCGGTGCAAGGGGCTGGAGGCACCTCCGCATCGGGACAGCAGCGCGTGACACTCGGTGAGGACTAAGCAACGCTAGTTCCCTCCCAGGAGGTGCTGTGCCCCGGGGCCTGGTGACAGGCCTGCCTTCCCACCTAGGGAGCCTCTGAGCCTGGGACGGCGCG